AAATCCTCTAAACAAACAATGATAGCCAGATCTACCATGTAATCTAAGTTTATAGCTCTGGATAAATGTGGTGAAGAAATAGAGTGGTTACGCAACTTCTTAGAAAATATTTCAAAATGGTCAAAATTCGTGCCAACAATTTGCATATATTGTAATAGTCAATCAACAATTGGAAGGGCACAGAGTAACAAGTATAATGGTAAGTCTAGATATATACGTCGTAGACACAATACTACAAGGCAACTACTCTCAATTGAAGTTATCACTATTGGCTATGTAAAGTTAAATGATAATATTGCAGATCCGCTAACCAAATGGTTAAATAGAGAGTTAGTTGGGAAATGAATGAGATTTAAGCCCTTGAACGAATAAGTTAATACAAAGGAATCCAACTTAGTTGAGTGGAGATCCTAAGATCAAGGTTCAAAGAGACAACTTAATTGTAAAGACTTAATTAAATTACTGTGAGGGGATGTTACCTCATGTCCATTCCAATGATGCCACAGTGATGCCCGTAAGGATGAAGGATAAGCAGCAGACTTTTAATGATCGGAAATCGAGTCAAGTAATGCAGGTTACTTGTAATAAAAAAATCACCTATGTGAGAGAGAAGTGGGGCCGCTTCTAAGAGAAGTGTGTGGGGATCAATTCTTAGGACCTCTCGCAGAACCAAACGTATGTTCATAGCCAAAACGAACATGATAATGAGAACTAAATTGTGTTAGGAAGAATCATGTGTGAAATATATCATCATTTACATAAATAGTAGAACAGTTCAAGGACAACGTGTCTACTGGTCAGCAAGTAAAGTAAAATGCTCTCACAATGGAAGGTTCAAAGGATAATACATACCTATCCTATGTAGGTTTCAACCGTTGAACTTTATCACCAGGTCTTTTGTTTCACATTTGTGTCTCTCCCAATTTTCATTCATGTGGGAGATTGTTGAAAAAATGAGTATGTGGCTGACTTTGGCATGGATTTTGAGTGGGACCCGTTTGGCTATTTTGGAAGATAAAGATTGATTTTTATTCTTCTCCATGAGTACATCGAAATCATGTATTTACTTGCCAAAAATGAAGCTCAGGTGAATGAGAAATCAGAATTCAAAGTGGACTATTGAAATATGGTTTATGTTGGAGGGAAAACTAAATTTGAGTTTATCCCACATAGGAAGTTTATGAAAGCAAGAACCACTTTGAAAGTGTGTAATCATGTGTAGTATAGAGGCTCTTTCTATGTGCGTGCCGGGGGGGGAGGAGTGCAAATCATGGACCGAAAATAGGTTTCGGATCTTGAACTTGTGTGATGGCACGACTTGCGTACACAAATGTCAGATCGAATTGACTAAAAATTGGTTCCTTAGGATGACCTACGTTTTGTCATTTTTTTTGCTTTCAATAAATGACTTTTGGTTTCTGAAACTCCAATGGTTATTGTCATGACTTTTGATTTTTATAACTCCAATGGTTATTGCCACGACTTTTGGTTTCTAAAACTCCAACGGTTATTGCCATTGAGTTATGGACAGATTTAAGTGTTAAGTCTATATAAAGCTTCATTTTCCACTATTCCAGACATGAAAAAGATAGTCTGCATTATAATTCCAAGACACACGAAATTGTCCTCTGTCTGCATACATATTTTACCGTCTGTCAAAGTTTTGGTGGTGATATTGTTCAAATACTAAATCAGTTCGTCAGAGTATAATCTGCAGTGCACGGACTCCACAGGTTTGCTGTTGTATCCTGAGAAACAAACTCTCAAGTTAAACCTCAAGCAAAGACGGTGAGAGGATGAATCTGTTTTAAGGAAACTATGTATAACACAGGCCTCGAGTTAAAAGTTTTACTGTTTAATTCGTTTTTTCTTGTTTGTTACTCGTTTTTGCATACTGATATTTTGTTGTTCTCTTTAAACCTGTTATATATAATTGAATTTGTTATATTCAAAATTACATGAAAAAACGAAATGTGGAAATTCAGTGTTTAAATTCACTGCATATACGATATCTATCCTGCAAATACGGTATCCAGTGTGTAAATCAAGTAACTAGTTCTCAAATTCTCTTTAAATTTGTTATATATAATTGAATTTGTTATATTCAAAATTACATGCAAAAACGGTATGTGGAAATCCAATGTTAATATTCTTATAAATACGGTATCCAATGTGTAAATTCGATATTTAGTATTGAAACACTTATCTAACAAGATATGCACGGCCTGTCGACAAATTTAAAAGCGTAATCTGCCTAAGGTCGGCCAATCCGAGTAGTCGAGCTTTTGTTATAAAAGATTGAGGGTTTGGTTTAAGTGGGCCATAACTTATCTGATTGTACACTTTTTGGTTTAAGAACGATCCTTAACCAGAAAGTGACACCAATAGTACCTATCCCTTATTGATAGGTCTAAGGATTAGGGGAAGGTAAAAAGTACAACATAGTATTTGTTTTTTAGTGAAATTGGTTTTTAATACAAAAGGCTGACGATTAAGGAAGGTAAAAAGATTAAAGTATATAATAATTTATTAACTAATTTTGACCAAAACAACTTGCAATAGCCACCATTAACTTTGATATGCATAATGTTGAAATCAAGTTGCAAGTTTGAAAGCTCTTTTTATTTTGAAAAGTGCTTTTAATTAGGTTTGAATTCAACGTGCTGAAAGAAATTAGTAAATTTGATTTCGCACACGAGAGATCGAGACATGGCCACATGACTAGGGAAAAGGTGGGCTTCTTTTTTGCCCTATTTGTACTGCAAACGTTACTTAAAATTTGTCTTTCACTATAGTTCACATGAAAAAAAAACATCTTGAGATTAGTAAAACATCTTGACATCGATCTTATTACGTTACTTTATGTCCACATTATGTGAGAGAATTCCTTTATTAGTGAAACACTTCATCGAGCTGAGTAGACGTAAAAATATCGACCTAAATAATTCATTTAAACTTTTGAATAAAGTCTAAATTCTATTTCCTAATATTGTACGTGCTTACTTGAAATTTTATTTCTTACTATTCTACCATGCTTGGAAGTGCTTTTAAGCGATTATAAGATTGGATATCACGGAATATACAGATAATAAGTAATAGTAATTGTGGATTCCATGAATTTTGATTAGTTTATTTCTTGGCAAAGTATGGGGGAAATCACCGCATATTTTGTGGGTTATATGAAATTTAGTGGCTTACTATGAGAAAAATGGAGAAATAATTTTAAAATCCGCATATTTTTGAAGAATTTCATGCTTGCGTCATAATGACTTGATGCTTCTCTGAGTAGACACCAACAAATTATTTCTTAGCTACAAGACAACTGCCAAATTCCCACCACACCATAGAATAACTAAATAGGGCTACCCAATAGCATATGAAGATCAAGAATGCCAAATGCCACCCCACCCCAACCCCCACAACCTACCCACCCAACTCCCTACCCGACTACCCCACATTCTACAGAGTGGTTAATGGACCCCCTCATATCCAATAATCCCTGCACGTGACAGTTCCCCAACAAAATCATGAAATTACAGAATTTTGAAGCAACATTGTGGCATATAGAGACACCAGTTTGATCCATCTTATCTTAATGTGCAATTCTTGTAGTCGATTGTTCTGATGACTATTTCCACGTGTCACTATTTCGAAAGAATAATGCTATTCATCCCCATTGGGGTTGAGCTCCAGTGTATGTGCCAATTACATGACATTAAATGATAGACTCAATTATATGAGTCATGTGACTTTGTATTTAAATGAATCTATCATAATGTGACAATTACATGGCATTAAATGATATATTTAATTAAATGAGTCATGTGACTTTGTATTTAAATGAATCTATCATTTAATGCCATATAATTGCCACATAGATTGAGGCTCAACTCCAGTGAAAATGAATAGCATTACTCATTTCGGAATCGCTTCATAAGTATTTCATGTCAACATTCATTATCTAACAATATTGAATGATATTGTACACATCCAATCTAACGTACTAAAAAAATTGTTGGACATATAACATAATTTTGCATTAATTAATATCATTTAACTAAGACCAATAATACGTTCTACATATATAGAGGGTAAGTTCCACCCTTTGGATCCTTATTTCTTGGATCTAATTTGGCAAACTAATTTCATCGAGATCATCCAACGACAAGAAAACTTCGTCCATGCATGAAAGTCCTGCACTATCATCATCGTCATTATTGTGATACTGTTGCACTCGACACACCACCCACTTACTATATTCCTTCAAGAAATTCAAAATAAAAGAAAGTTAAATTAGTAACTTTACAAAATAATTAACAATACAATAATACAATACCCATAAAAATTTGATACATGCACAAATACACGAAATATACGTCTAGTACGGAATAATGACACTATTCCATATTACAATAAACAAGATGTATATGAGCTTTTTCATAAATTCTTAGTCATATAGTTCATATTACCGAACATGTACACCACACGTTTTACTTACGATTATGTAGAAATTTGTCCTTACCATCTTGGAATTTCTTTTTCTTGATGATGAAGAATCAGAGAGCCTAAATTCCTGCATTATCCAATTTGTTTTAACACCTTCTGGAGATTCACCCATGTAAAATGCATAACATTTCTTCATGCCAACTTTTTGGTTATCACTAGAATATATTGGTTCATCTACAACCAAAGACTGCCAATATCCACTCCCACTGATTCTGCTTTGTGTCCTCCTACTGAAGAAGTACCATTTGTTACCTTCACACATTGCTTTACCTACATGTCCAGGAAAAAAAAAAAGATTATACAAGCACATATACAATACATAGGTACATAATCTTGATGAATGTTACCATCTAATTCCCATGGATCATAGGGATAAAGATCGAGATCAGGGATGCAATCAGGATGGCAAGGTAAAAGGGAAGCCTTTCTATGAAGGAAATGAACTACAAGCTCTTCATCGCTGGGATTGAACCGAAAACCGGGTGGCAAGTTGAAATTATTCTCCCCCATGAATCAATGGTTTCTTAGTTAAGTAGAAGTGAAAATGTAGGTGTAGGGTTGTGGAGAATGGGATATATATATATATAGTAAGTAGAGAGAGAGAGAGAGAGAGAGAGAGAGAGAGAGAACCATCAAAGATTGAAGAATGGCCATTATTTTTGATATATAACTGAGTGCTGTGCTGGTGTGCTGCTTTATTTCCAAATATTTTCCAAGCAATGGGATCTGTTGGCATTAGAGGGAACGGATGGAGGTGAGAACGGAGTGGGGTGGGGGTGGGGTGGGGTTAATAGATTTAGCCCTGTTTGGTATTTTTTTCATTATCATTCTTCTACTCATTTTCAATCACGCATTATTCAATAAAATAATATTTTCCATCACATCAATAATTTTTCTTTCCTTTTCAACCACACATTCTTCATCAATTTACTATTGCATAATACATTCTTTCAAAATAATGTGGCTCAAACACACCCTTGTGTATCTATCTTTGGGAATTTGGAACTAGGGTATGCATATATTGACAAATGTTTGATAATGTGGGTCATCATCACACTTCATGCTTGTATCATCAATCTTGAGCAATCCATGATGCACGTCATGGATGTTTCGGTCTTGTCCAGCCATTTTATCTAAAAGTTGAACCATTAAAGAGGACAATTAAACTTGATCATTAAACATGTTCTTACTCTCATACTATGTTAAATTATTCTATAAAAAATAATTAAATGATAAACATGGGTTCTTAGTTTATCCTAAATTTTCATGGCCCCATCAGTTTCGATTCTTTGGCAGAATGTTAATTTTTTTTTTTGTAATGGAGAATGAGTTTTAATCTACTTATTTTATAAGCCACTTATTTCGGATAATGATGATGGAACAAGATTAATGAATTTACGACAACCTACTTAACCAATGGGAGATTATAATGACTATTATTCTTATCTAGATAAGTCCAATAATAGCGTTCGTTCTCCTTCAATTCAAAATGAAAGAAGGAAAAGTCCAAAAGGAATTCTCCTCTCTCTCGCATCTTCCGGGAATTGCAAAAAGCATAATTGCCCGAAAATGGGCTGTCGGGGTACAATTAATCACACAAATTTTTATTAAATTTTCAGCCTCTCGTTTTTCTTATTCATAAGATAGATGAGTAATCCCTTCTGTTATCAATGAATCTTGGGGAAAACTTTCTTTCTAGAATCTTAGTCCCTTCGCTTTGAGAAGGATTTCTAGCTAGTCTTCCTTATACACCAGGTAGACAAGCTTCGGACACGATGTGACTTTAGAATTAAAGTTTGGAGCATACCATAGTCTTGGAGTCTGTGGCCATGTCCATGTGAAAGATCGTGATCAAAGACCCTTGGACTTCTTTTTGACCGTGCTTGGAACTTTCGATAGCAATACTCTTTTTATCTTTAAGCCCACTCGTACTTCTGTGTATTCGAAACCTGATTGAACCATAGGTAGCTTGTATGTTTCAAAGTGAAGAAAAGAAGCGTTAAGCTCAATTGTTAGCGCTGCCTAGTGTTGAAGTTGTGTAACTATGATTAGGTAGAAAGCATCACTTAGAGTAGAATGATTGGGCTATGAATTATCCTGACAAAGGGATAACTCCAAAAAATTTCAATATTTGTTAGTTCAGCATTTCACATAGGGTCCGTTTGATTGGTATAAATTCCATGAAAAATGTCACATTCGAAGAATTTAATTTCTACATTGACTGTTTAATACGAAAGTAAAAATTGAGTTCGCATTCCAAGATACAACTACTTTAAACTTATTTATTTTTTGTCAATTTCATGGAAAATGCATTCATATTGGGGTATTTGAATTTTTATTTTCTAACTAACATGGAATTAGAAAGCATTTTCACCTTTGCGAATCAAACGGACCCATAGTTAATTTGTGTTCATGTCAATTCATAATAGTTAAATAGAGACATTTTTTTTCGACACATCAAGGTTCAAGAAACAATATAAACATCTTAAATTTAACTTTGTACCTTTATCATCCCGTGACACTTAAAATGGCGCCATATCCTTGCGATGTGAAAATCATATTATCATTCCAATTCATGGTTCCATCACATACCCTAGCCGAGGAGATCAAACTCCGAATTGTACACATTACGTGCACCTTCTTGTAAATATACACTTTTGTATAATCTTATATGTACCAAACACGCATATCATTCTTTACAAATTACAATACTAGAAGTTTTAGCATAAATGTATAGAATATTGTGCGTATTGTTTTCTACAATACTATAAGCTATAGCTAACACGTTTAATATTCAAACTGGGGGGGACCTGTCATCCAAATATGTAGATGCAAATAGCATATAATTTTTGTGATCATGTCACCAATATAGTATGCTTATGAATATTTGCACTAGTATAGTTGCAACCCCACAAATGTCTAGTCCATTCATTCTCCTAAGTCCTGCCAATCCATATAGCATGAAATTTTGTAAATGGATTCTCCTTACCCATCCAATCCAACCAATTCTTGGAGTTATTATTGATACATTCTGAACAAAACTTTGTGCAATCAAGCATGTGAAAAAAAAAGTCAGTGAAGTTATCCCACGGTCGATATGTTGAATTGAACGATGTTAAGAAACTATAAAATAGATGAGTATGTAAAATATTTCTTAATCGTCACTTAATACGTTAATCTTGTTCTAATAGCATTTATAGAGTCGTTAGGGTCTTGATATTGGAGAATTCCAAGAAGATGCTCCTACGCCACCGCGAGTAATTTACTTAATAAACTAGGATTGTAAAAGTTAAGTGGCCAAAAGACAATAAAATGCTAATAATAATTGAAATGAAAGTTTACCTAACAACTCACTCAAACTAGGAAGAACTCAATGGTGCCCTAAAAGGGAAGGTTGGGAATTTGCTCCTCACAAATTATATTTTCTATAAATGGATAATATAGACAAACTAACATAATCCACGCCATGTCGTTTTCATTAATTAAAACCAATGGTTTTTATGATTTTGGGATACTTGATGGTGCGTACTAAATCTGCTTGTATAGTACTATCAATCATGCTTGGTGTACACCTTCTTTTACATTATAGTTGACACAATGTCATATGATATTCTCTCATTGGACAGTTTAGCAAAAAATAGTTTTTGCAGCCAATGATTTTTTAACACCACAGGTGTCAACAAGAGTGGCAAAAATGGGCATAATCCATAGAACTATATAATTGTTAATAAATTTTATAACATATCTTTTTTCTTTGATTGTGTCTAGCCTAGTGTCCAAAAACTGAATTTGAAAAAGTCTAATTGTATAATCATCATAAAATGGACTTACAATGTGATGTTTGTTTTATCTAATGTATCATACATATCAATGTACTAGGATATGCATGGACATTTTTTTGGGAACCAAATAGAACCAATCGATTTGGCTTCAATTACTTTGAAAAACAATTCGGTTTTGGCACATTTACAAACAACCAATCGATTTTGATTAGATACTCGGTGTTGGTTTGAGAATTCATTCGATTGTCCCAAGTTTTTTTCTTCTAATTTTTGAGTATAATATAATACCCTCGTTCTTTTTTCTCTTCACACTCTCTCTCATTAGTCACATTTTCCAATTTTTCGCCGTTTGATTTTTTTTTTTCTATTTTTTTCTTCCTTTTATTTTTGTTTATTTTCAATTTGACAAGTAGTTTCTTTTTCTACTTTCATAAAATTTTCAACATAAAAAATTGGGCCGAAATTGATTGGTTCAGTTCGAGCTCGATTTCTTAGTTAGATATGAAGCCAATGGTTCCATTTCTAATATTTTTTATTGGTACTCGATTCAATTTGGTTCCCTTTTGAATTTGATTGATTTAAATCGCGTCCACTCCTATACTTGGATAATATAGGTACGTTAACAAAACATCTTAGCAACCCGATCAAATACCATGATAAGTATATAAATATTGGTCTAGATTATCGCTTTAAAATTGGTTTATAATATGAGGTTCTCCTTCACGGTTTGTCGTGACTAAATTCAAGAGCCGTGACAAAATTAAACTAATATGATCAACGTGTCAAATATGAATATTTGATGGCTCAGTCACGTCACTTCACGTCAATTCTCTCTATAAATTATGGAAGGCCACTTGTCAATCTTATTTCTTAGTGGCAATAAAATTCATCATTTGCCACCAATTGTTATTATATGTTCTTATTTCTTTCTACCTTACTTGTTGGCTTCCAATCTTCACATAAAGCAATCTATATTAATGCAAGAAGGGGATGTGAATAATAATAAAAAGATTCTTGTTCGTAATACACGAATGAGTATTACTCGAATTTTACTTGAACGAACGTTAGAATTATTGAAATCTACCAAATAATAGGAAAAACTGAAAAATCTTATTAATCAAGGAAAACGAATACAATGTTTTCACAATCTTAACACGTATTTGAAGACTCAAAACAAATTCTAATGACATTAAGATCCTAATTCCGTAGGTATATTTGAATAAAACTAAGAAACTACAAAACGAATTTGAAAAAAGACGAAATACTCTTAAATAAACTAAAAACTGAAAAACACTAAAATAGACCATTAGACGATGGAATTTGACCACAAACTAAAAGTTATGCATGTTTTCGTAGATCCTCCTTGCTTTCTTCTACTTTCTAGTTGGTTTATGATTTTCTTTTCTAACTGTTTCGTATCATATATTCTGTCACAAGCCTGCCTTAACATCGTTTGAAAGTTTAAATTGATAATTTTTTTGTAAAAATTTTTTTGTATTCCGATCTTAGTTATTCAATGTTGAGTGTTCTAGATAGGTTAAGGAAAGAGCAAGAAATGTCATTTGTTACATATTGATAGACATGGATTACCCAACTTTAGAGGTTTATAAGCTTGTTTTCATTTGCTTTTACTTTCTTTATATATATATAGTTGGAGAATCTTTAACCCCCATCTATCTTCTTAATTTCATAGTATTTATAATTTCATAATTTCATAGTATTTAGAATTTATTATTCCGAGAACCAATTCTCACACCGAGAGCGAATAGGGACCTAACCCCGCCCTTCTTTCCAGGTATTGAGGCGGCTTGCTGGTCAGATGGTAAATCTCGCCGACTTGCTAGCTGGAGAGCAAAACTGATTTGGAGGCAACTTATCAACTAGAGGGCCCCCTGTGGATTCGGGCGATTTAGGTCCCAGCTAAGTGGTCCATTGCATTTGGACGAAGGAACGTAACGATTTGTCCCCCCAACCAAAGGAGAATCTCGGCAACTATCTTCTTCAACTATGTCCATGCTTTGTTGTTTATATTCGATTTAAATTATAAACATATAAAAATAAATGGTAGATAAGGGAATAGCACTTGCAAATCTCTCAAAATTATAGATAAAAAATGATTTGGTCGATTATAAACAACTCCTAAACATGGGCTATAAAGTGATCCATTAAAAACTGAGTAGACAAGAAGAGTCAAAGGGCAAGGGTTCGCAGAGAAGAGCTTGTCTTATTTTTTGTTTTAACATGTACGAGCCATGTTGTATATAGTCGTCAAAATGACAAAAAAAGGAATTAGAGACTAACGTTGCCGCAAAGTCGTCAAGAAATAAATTAGACGCTAAGTTGTAACAAAGTTTATATATTGAATCCACACAATCATTTCGCCTATTTTCCGCCTATCAATGTTATCCAAATCATCTAAATCAAAGAACTCAGGGTTGTATGAACTAGAGAAATGCTACATCTACAGCCTTTTACACATACATTTTGACAGCCCTCTCACATGGGGGTGGGGTCCACAATCACGGGCCCCACACCCATATGAGAAGGATGTCAAACTTACTGTGTAAAAAATCTGTACATTTAGCCTTTTTCTATGAAATATTTCTGCAAAAAGACACAATATGCCTGGAAATGGTTGTATATAGTTCAACTTTCCATCGAGTGATTTCATTTGCGTCTCAATCCTACTAATATAAGTGAAGATAAAAAATTAAAAATCAAATCTAACATGTTTGGCTAAGCTTTAACAAGGTCGGTCACTTATAATTTGTGTGTAGATAAATCATCAATTAACATAATAAACTTGAGGGCAAAAATATTTGACGGATCTTTGCCGTGTGTCAAAAATATTTGCCTAAAGGCACATATTGTCTTCGCTTCATACACTTGAGGGCTTTTCATACTTATTCCCTTTTTAATAGGATCTCTTTAGAATTTATTATTCTCACACCGAGAGCGAATAAGGACCTAACCCCGCCCTTCTTTGCAGGTATTGAGGCGGCTTGCTGGTTAGATGGTAAATCTCGCCAACTTGCTAGCTGGAGAGCAAAACTGATTTGGAGGCAACTTATCAACTAGAGGGCCCCCCGTGGATTTGGGCAATTTAGGTCCCAGCTAAGTGGTCCATTGCATTTGGACGAAGATACGACGAGAATGTAACGATTTGTCCCCCCAACCAAAGGAGAATCTCGATAACTATCTTCTTCAGCTATGTCCATACTTTTGAGTTGTTTACATTCGATTTAAATTATAAACATATAGGAATAAATGGTATATAAGTAAATACTACTTGCAAATCTCTCAAACTTATAGATAAAAAATTATTTGATCGATTATAAACAACTTCTAAACATGGGCTATAAAACGATCCATTAAAAACTGAGTAGACAAGAAGAGTCAAGGGGCAGTAGTTCAGGGAGAAGAGCTTGTCTTATTTTTTGTTCTAACACGTACGAGCCATGTTTGTATATAGTAGTGAGAATGACAAAAAAAGGAATTAGAGACTAATGTTGCTGCAAAATCGTCGAGAAATAAATTAGAGGCTAAGTTGTAACAAAGTTTATATATTGGATCCACACAATCATTTTGCCTATTTTCCGCCTATCAATGTTATCCGAATCATCTAAATCAAAGAACTCAGGGTTGTATGAAATAGAGAAATGCTACATGTACAGTCTTT